AAAGACTTCACATATGAAATCATTGGACACAAATTATAAACATCCATGCTTATTCTGAGGAGCATAAGAAATGCTAAAATTTCTTGAAGACTTGAAGAAGAGCCAATTAAAACTGCTATACATGAAGAAATTAATCCAAATTAAATTCACTGTGTGAACTAAACAGGATCGTACCCTCAGAAATAGAGGGAAGGTGAATGGAAATAGAGATGAGAAGAAAATATACAGAATGTGATATAGAGAGACAAAAAAAGTAGGGAGGTACAAAAGGAGGGGCTAAAAGTCATGGGTAAAGATATAGAGGAAGATATAAATAGAATGTGAACAAAAGCAATATTTGAAAAATGATCAAGAATTTTATAGAACTATTAAAATACATCAATTCAAAGTTTCAAAAATGAATCAAATCCTAAGGAGACTAAATATAAACTTTATCCTGGATACTTTATAATAAAACTGTAGAAGACCAAAGAAAATGAGAGAATAGTTAAAAGTCAGAGGAAATTGCCAGAATATTTTCAAAAGAGTAATTTTTAGGACTGACTGCTGACTTTTCAACACCAGCAATGAAAGCTAGAAGTCACTGGAGTGGTGTCTTCAAATTTTAGAAAGAAAATAACTATCAGAAGAGGCTGGTCATTGTGAGTATGACCTGGAAGGGTATATATCCTTTCTTGGCTACTTCCTTTGCTCTCTGCTTCCTGGTTGCCATGAGGTGAGCATTTTTTCCCCTGTCATACCTCTCTGCCATGCCTTTTCTGCCTTGAAGCTTGAGGACCATAGATTGAAACCATAGCTAAAAAAAACTTCCCTTCTTTAAGTTGTGGGTCTTGGGAATTGTGTCTCAGCTACATGGAAGTAAAAGATAATTACCACAAGGATGATTTCACTAAAGAAAATTCTAGGAAAAGTGTCCCAAGGTGAAAATCCTAAAATGGAAGAAGGAATGGAAGGCAAAGAAAATGATAATGATATGAGCTAATATAAATGAACACTGACTACATTTAGTTAGTGGTTTGATTTACTGTAAAATTTCGAGCTTTAACTTGTATTGATAAGGACTTTCAGTGCTTCCAGGAAATTCTACCTGGTTTTCATCATCATGTTATTCATCATGTTGCTTCCATAGGAACTCATTCAAATAATCTTTACAATCTCTCAAATTCTATGCTTGAAACTTCTCCTCACACCTGCAGTGTATAACCTTGCCTTCTAATTCAAGAACATATAACAACCATATAATGAACAATTCCTCAACTTTCTCCCACAGAAGTAAAATTTTCTCAACATCAGAATAAGTTTTTTCTTGATTTGCTCTTGTTACAATGATGGAGCCATTATCATCTCCAATCTAAGATTAGCCACTCCATTTCTTCTAAAGTAATATATTCTTGCATTCTCTTCTATGTTCCTGAATGTGTAACCTCTGTTTTTCACGTACCCTTATCCTTAATAATATTTAAACTTGAGCATGTATAAATACTGTCTACACACACCCACACAAACACACACACATGCACTCACATGCACACACACTCCACTTCAGTTTCCTTCTAACATTAATTCTACTTCATTTTGATCCTGTGTCCTTTTAAACCCTTGAAAATGTTGATAGTCTCAAATAGTTCTTGTGCAGGTGGATATCCATAAAGTACTTCCTATTATGAGATTTTCAGCTTCTCTTTTTAGATAAATAAACATTATCCCCTATTTATTTCACCTAAAAGTGAGTAACACAAGAACAGAATTTGTGTCTTATTAACTTGAACTTCATGTCCCTGGCCTAGAATGTGATACTCCTTTTGGTTATTGAATTAGTCAGCTTTACTTTGTTATAACAAAATACCTATGATATTTAATTTATGGAGACAAAAGGTTTACTTTGCTCACATGTTTGGAGGTTCTAGTTCAAGATTGGTAAAGCCATTGCCTTTGGCCTCTGAGAGTATGGATGGATCATCAATAGTGAGTAACGCATGGCAGAGCCAACTGCTCACCTCATGGCAGAAGCAAAGGAAAGAAAGAGGATGAGGCCTTGAAGAACATACCCCCAATGACCTCAGTATCTACAAGTCCTCTTTTGCAAAATATCCCCTGAATCTCTCAATAATGACACCCTAAGGACCAAGCCTTTAGATACAGGCCTGTAGGGAACATTCACAATCCAAACTACAGTTGTCATTATTAACTCTCTGGATGTTTTTTCCTGGTCTCTCTAATTCTTTTGGTAAATGTGAAAGAGTTAGCTAATGTTTCATTTGTTTCTTCTTAAGTTTCTTTTTTTAGTTGTTTTGGGTATATTTAAACAGAGTAAAAAATAGTTTATGAAACAATGTTGTCATATAAAACTAACTCACCCCACTCCTCAGAATACATGAAAAAAGATAAAAAAGAAAAAAAATCTAATTTCACACTCCAGCTGAAGTCTGTCCTATATCTGAGAAACTTGCCCCAGGTGTCCACAGTGGAACTTCTGCTTGAGAGTCTAATATGCTAAAGATGATTTCTCAGGAGATGGCATTTCTCTGAAAAGTAACTTTAAAAAGTTTTGTCAACAGCAAATTAAAATAAAGCTGAGGTACAATGTTATTACTATGGCCAAATGTGGTGGTTTTATTCCATCTCCAGGAAAAGAAAATCTGTAAGGGTGCCCAGGTGTGAAGCAGAACTGCTAAGGTATACACACTAACTGAATGCCAGTCTGTGATGGTCTTCAGATCATCTTCCCCTTGTCTCGCTGAATGGAGATTTGTGTTTGGAAGTTTAATATCTCAAAGTCTCCCCCTACACAGAAACACACAGACACACACAGGTAGCCTGATTCTGGTGTCATTTCATACATAGTTGAACTATTGCTAGTAGGCAGCTGCTGGCCCTATGGAGGCGTGTGTGTGTGTGTGTGTGTGTGTGTGTGTGTGTGTGGTTGTGGACAAGGAGAATGGGTGGAAGGCATTGGTGGGGGCTGGAAGACAGGTAGGGGCAAAGCTAAGAAGAAGCATACCTGGCTATTCCTTGTAGATTTTCTATCTAGGCCATTCTGCAGACAATTCGCCATACTGAATTCAGTTATTATTAAGGAGATGGCATGAAATGAGAAGGAATGTAGCTAATGGTAGTATCTTGGTAAATAAAAATTTTAATTTAATGCAACTCAAGAAGTTGTCTACTTTAAAGAGTAACATTAAATTAAAAGAATGATTTCATTCTTCACAAATACTCCCAATACAAGCAAACAAAGTACAAAGCTTGCTGCCCACCCGAGGCTAATGTGAAATCTGAAGGACGGCAAGACAAGCCGAGAGAACTGGCTCCCTGCAAAGCCTTCTGCGGCCCTTTGTGCTAGCCAGCTTTCATTGAGTACACGGGTTGCCCTAGTGATGAATGTCCTGCTTTGTGCGGTCTCAGCGTTTTTTTCTAGAGAGGCTGCTTTAATGAGAAGGTGAACAGAGAGAGCTTCTTTTGAAACTAGGATAAGAGGAGGGCCACTTCTGAAAATGTCAGCATAATGGAGCCATTCCATCTCACAGTGATCTGACAACCCCCAGAGCCCGCGTCTGTGTCTGTGTGTCTGTCTCTCTCTTTCTCTCTTTCTCTCTCTTGTTTCTCAACTTTTCTTACTAGGTAGCTTCAGAAGCTTGATTTGGCTAAGTACTGTTTTGGAATGGCCTATGGTCTCAGTCCCCTGGATTTTCTTTTCTAAGTAGCGAGTAACCAATCAAGTCTCTTTCTGTCATTCGGGCTTCCATCTTCTTTCCTCCAAAAAGGGATTATTCTTGGTATGTCAGGGAAACAAGCACTCCTGCTTTCTCCTACCTATCTTAAAGTGCCGCACTTTTTCAGAGTTACCCACGTGCTAAGAACGATGCTGCAGCTTTTTCCAACTCCCTTTCTTCTTCAGGATCTATTATGTGGGGTAGGAGTGGGAGGAAACCATGTAATCGCTGTATTTTAGGATCCAGTTGGGGTTGGCTTGGATTGAACACACAGAGTAAACTCTTGATTATCCGTGCTAATGGAAGAAGTAGTAATTCAGACTATACACACTGTTTCTATCTGACTTTGAAATGTATTATGTGATTTTAAAAAAAGAAGTAGCAGGTAGTTTACTTAGAATGATAATAGTGAAATTCCTTTTGTGTTGCCAGTGTTTACGGTAGGCAAAATGGTGAGATAACACTGTTCTTCCTAGTCCCACCCCTCAATTTCACCTGGCACAGACTCCTTTTTCTTCCTCTTACCTGTTCCTTATTTCTCCATTTTCTTATCAAAATGAACTCTTAGGAAAAGGGTGAACAGATAAAGTTTGTTTAACATATAAATAATTAAAAGAGCATAGTGTTACATACATTTAAAAAGGAGTCAAGACCTTACTAATATTTATATTTGCATTAAAAGGGTATTAGGTTTCATGATAGTTATTTATTGATGTTGTTATTATCGTTTGACGACATATATTTTTATTTATTTTGTTTTTGCCTTACCCTCAGGTACATAGGACAGTACCAGGCAAATGATATGCATTTAATGAATGTTTGTGGACAAAATGTGTGAAGAATGTAGTTAAAAATTTTTACATACTTTTTTCATATTCGTAAAGATGTTCTAGAATATGGGTACTCTAGATTATATTATTATTAAAACAATGTCCTTGGTGTATATCTTTTTTGTTTATGTGTATAGACTGATTTACATATAAATATTGTGTATAATGTTCCTTATGACTGGGCTGTGTAATAACAGGGATTTTTTTCATGAACAATCTCATTGAACTTCTGCTATTTTGCACTTTGCTGATTTGTCAAAGTTTTCATCATCTTTTGGAGACAGCTTTTCTTTGGAGATAAGTGACAAAGTGGTACACTGCTCACAGGCCATGACTGTCACTGGACCTAATCTGTCACAGTGTTTGCATGTGATAAACCACTTAGTGCACAGAGTAATAGGAGTCTCACCTCAGCCCTGCTAACTCAGGTCATTTTTTTCCTTTACAAATCTTCTAGATTGCACTATGTTAGTTGAGAAGAAGCCAGAAACAAAAAGTCAAAATGGAATGGTCCTTCTTTTTCATTATGATCCACCCAAGGAAGGTAAGATGGCAATGGAATTGTTCAGGTGGATGGCTTTTGCTTCGGTTGAGGGGGTGGAACTTGGCTTGGAGTTAGGAACTGCTCCTGCACAGGTTGTGCTAGGGAAGTAAGTTAATTGCTTGGCTTTGGAGCTAAACCTGGGTTGAGTACCAGCTCTCCTGGCAGCTTCTCAAATGCAGCAATTTACATAGGTTCCCTTGGTTTCTGTTAAAATGTCGATAACAATACTATATTCCATTGGAAAATTGAAACTTTAACAGTTTGCAAAGGGGTTAACTTTGTGGTACACACATATGCATTGACCTTGATTAATACTCCTTGGAAACCTATTGTGATTTAAGAATCAAGCCAGGCAACTTTCATGTGCTCTGTAATTTAATTTGTACATCCACCTATTTTTTCCAAGTGTGAAAATTGAGGCTCACAGAAGTTAAATAATATGTCCAGTTTAAGAAAACCTTTGGGTGCTGGGATTTTGGATCTGTATCTGTTATGGTTTAAATTGAGAATGTCCCTTTAAAGCCTCATGCACTCGTAGACAGGGCTTTGAGAAGGTGATTGGATTATGAGGCGCCACAGCTGGTTTGATGTTAGGAGGTGGGGTCTGGTCAGAAGAGGAGAGTCACTGGGGGCATGGTCTGGACAGATCAAGCTCCCTTCCTGTCTCCTCTCTTTCTTTCTCTCTGATTCTTGACCACCATGAAGTGTGCAGCTTTCCTCTGCAGCAGACCCTTCCACCATCCCCTTTCTGTCCTTGAGCCAGCCAGCTGTGTACTAAAACCGCTAAAAACCTTGAGCCCAAATAAACATCTCCTGCTTTAAATTTTGGAGTTAGGTATTTTGTCCCAGCAATGAGGAAAATGACTAAGACAATATCTTTCTCTTTGCATTGTATCATGTGGCCTCTCTGGGGATTCCATGCTCAAATAAGTTGAATCTATTCCACAGTGGTCTCACTTTAAGATATTGGGGAGCACTCAGGAGGCTGAGGATCACCACGATCTCTGGGCCAACCTGGGTTACATCGTGAGCTCAAGGCCAGTCTGAACTACATAGCAAGACCTTGCTTCAAAAAACAAAATACAACTGCAACAAAAGGAGGAAAAATGCAAGAGCATTTGTCAAAGGAGGAGTTCATTTAAATCTTTGGATATCTTCTGTTCTTCCTGGTCTTCGAAGGGTACCCTGGGCACTCCATTGACTCCACCACCGGGCTGCTTGCCAGGGCTCAGCTGAAGAGATGCCTTTTCAGAGACACTTTCCCCAACCACCTGTGCTCTCAACCATGCCACAGGTGCCATGAAGGCATTGTCAAGGTCTGGAAATGTCTGAATCTTTGCCTATTTAACTCTGCGCTGTGAGATCTTTGAGTGAAGCGAGTTTGCTTTTTTCACTCCTGCATCTTTTTGCACAGGGCAGGGGAAGGAGAGGCTCTGTAAGGATGCGATTGATTTACAAATGAAGAAGTTCAGCTGCTGAGAGCTGTAATCCTGGGAGACAACCTTGTGCTGCTACGGTGATCACACTGCTAGGCTGTCAGTATGTAATAGATACAGCCATGGGGAGAGGAGAAACAGTTGCCTGAATTCTCTGCCCTCAGTCTGCTTCATGCCCTGTTAATGGCAGGAGGGAGCTGTCCTGATTCTTTTGCCAGGGAATGAGAGCTTGAAGTGCTGCTTGTGGCTAAATATGTCCCAGCTCAGCCTCTGCTTCATCCTCGTTAACTCTACTTCATAGCTGGCCAGAGGGAAAGATTAATTTAGTGACCAAGCTTAATAAATAGATGCTTCTGGTCTTACATTTCATGCATTGCCCTCAGAGGCTGAGTGCTCATTGAAGTGCCAGGTTCAAGATATCAAGGGCAAGCAGCTGGGCTTGAGGGAAGCGCTAAGATAGTTCCCTAGCTCATCTTGTAATCACCAAAACTACAGCGACCACAGGAAAAGCCCAAAACATCTATTTCCTGTGCAACCCTCAAACCATGTTTCTGTACCAAATTGCTTTTGTGAGGCAAAACCAATTGCTTTTGTCAGAAAACTAGGTTTCGTCTCTACATGACATTCAACATAGAAATCTGTCATCTCTTCCCTCTGGAAGGCCTTGACAAAGAGCTTCCATCTTGGAAGGAGCTCAGTTCTGGGCAGCCCTCTCTAGAGAAAATCGAGTCTGAGGTACTAGAGAGTAAACAACATTACATCCCACAGGGTCTGAGGTGACCTGAATTAGTTCCAAAGTGAGTCTACGACAGCAGCACAATCATTAGTATGTGTATGTGCCCATGTCTAAGTGTAATTGTACTGTATAATTAATACAGAGCTAAAATTAAACTCCTGGGTGAAAAGAGACTGTCAGGCTGAAGAGCCTGGGAAATATTAACCTCTCAGATACTTCTTGTTTATAGCAATTCTCTGACTACACTGCTCTTGGTTTCATGGTGTTGACAGTGGTAGTGTGTGTGTGTGTGTGTGTGTGTGTGTGTGTGTGTGTATGTGGAGGTGTGTGTTGTTCCTTTTTATTTTTATTTTTTTGCTCCTTTTTATTGTTAATGTTTCATATTGAGGAATGAGAATTTTGCAGTTTATCCACCTTGCATTCCTCAAATACCCCAAAGAAACCTTTGTTTTACTTAATCTTCGCCGGCTACTTGATCTCTTTAGTTTTTCCAGATAATTAATTTTTCTCAAGTGGGGCAACTCAAAAAGAAGGGAGAAATAGAACATAAAGAGCTCTTTCTTGGTTCAATTCTTCCCCTCTGTTGGCAATGACTTTGGGCAGAAAGGTACATGACTTAGGAGAACTAACTGCTGGATGTACCCTTCACATTGCTTCTGACCTTGAAGAAAGGCAGCCACTGTACACCTCTATTTTCCTTGATCATGAATGGAAGATTGACTCTCAGAGCAAGAATCAGTGAAACAATTACCAGGGTAACTAAACTTATTTTTATTTTTCAAACCCAGACATCACTTTAGACACTGCATTATGAGATGGGCTAAATGTATATTCTTGAAGAATATAGAAAAGATTCTTCTCACTTCCTCCTTCACTATTTGATTGACAAGCACTGAGCAACCATATGGCCAGACATGGCTCCTTAGTGCCAGCGTTACTATTGTTCATGCATTGACCTGGAGGCCCATTCTTTAGTTGAATGCTTTACCATTCTCCATCAAAGGTTATAGAGATACAAATTGTGCATGTTGGTTTCACTCCTTCGTCTTGGTCTTCTCCATTTAAACAGCGATCTTTTTTTCTTATAAGTTTTAATAACCTCTAGTTTCTCATTTCAAAGGAAGGATTCTAGGATTCTCCTTAAATTCCAATATGGTGAAAGTGGAGGGAGAGAGGGGAGAGAGGACAGATGAGAGAAGGGGAGAGAGATGGAAAGGGAGAGGGAAAGTGAGAGGAGACAGAGGCTTTTAGTTCAATCCAATGAACTCTTTCTGTATCAGTAGCAGCAGATATTAGCAAAAGGTTTTTTAACCTCTGTCCTCTGTGTTTCTGCCTTTATTATTGAGATCTTGGAAAGCTATCAAATAACTCAGACTCTTTGCATGTAAATGGGAATACAGAAACAAAGTTTAATCTCCATTAGGTGTTGGAGTTGGCAAAGCACCTGACATAGATGAAAACCTTCAGTATATTTTTTCTTTATGCTTTTATTGGAATAGAAAAACCAGTGCTGAAGCTTCAATAATATGCATCCTGCAATAGATCAAAATGTATATTTTATTTACTCTAAAGTCCACTTGACCAACCTGTTTTACAGCCTACATCAAATCTCTTAGTAGTGAATTACTAATTTTGATAATATAATTCTTTCTATATTTTAGTTAAAATAATTGTTCCAAAGAGCTTCTTGGAGAATGTTATATGATAATTATGGGAAATAAATTACTAGAAATTAAACTACAAAATATATAATTGGTTAAGTATAGTTATATATATGGTCATTGTATTTCTTTATAGTTGTTATTACATTGTATTTATGCTATGGTTATTAAATTTATGTATATTTATTATAATAATATATAATATTATATAAATTTATTATGTATATATATTTATTATGTATATATTATATATTTGTTATGGTTTTTAGAAAATGGAAAGAATTAAATCATAATGAGATAATTGAGAGAATTAATAGACACAGTGTTTATGTAAGCAGGTTTAGGTTAGCAATCTATTTGAAAAAAAAGAAGTAGAATTGGTTTTGATGTTCTCACAGCACATCCACTATTTTCAACCAGATTACATGTTCTCAAGGATAATTTTGCTGCTGCTGAAAACATGGAGCCTGTCTTAAACCTGAAAATGCATAGCAAGCCCAACATTACTACTTAGTTGGTCTGCTCATTGGGGGCTTTGGATGTCTTGGGCTGATTTTTTTTTTTCTGCCACTGTAGGTATATTCTGTCAAAGATATATTTAGAGTTTTTGTTTTGAGTTTGTTTAAAATATAGTGTTAAGATTAGACCTGTGAAGAATTCAAATGTTGCCAATTTCACTTACCACTAATTCCTAGACTTGGAATGATTCTTCTTTTTGCAGAAACAAGGTGTTTGAAAAAGTAGTTGAGAAATGCAAATGTGATAGCAGAGTTATACACGTGCTGTGATTTCTTTCCTAAGATACAATATGTTTGCAAGATCTGTGATGTTTGCTCACTTTAAGTTTAGATATTTGAATAAATCAAGGGTTGCTTTACGCCATGTTGAAGGACAGTAAAATTATAGGGTTTTTTTCCATATTTAATGAAAGGCATTGTTGTCATTTCCAGAATAATGATGTTCATCAGAGAACAAGGGTAGATTCTACAATTAGATGGAATAGCTACCTGATTTGACTTGAAGTCGCTCTGTACCCCCAAAACTTCTTCACTTGTTAGGCATAATACCTAAAAGCCTAAGATATTTCATATCTTCAAGTGAAATAACTAAAGGGAAAATGTAATGTTGGAGAAGTTGCAATGTCTAAATTTCAGACTCAGA